AAATATGGATGCACCAGATTTACGATAATTTCTCTTCCATGGAGATTGCCACAGTTCGTCCAATTTAACTGTATTAACTTTGTTACTTTATTTGCCAGACTGAAGTCAATTTATTCCAAACTAAACGGTGAGAAGCTTTACAGACCAGGTGCAATAGTTACTTTTCTTTTTCCGTAATTTTAATTATAGTTTTGGCACAATTTTGATGAATGTTTTATTCAGAAAAGTGGGAGGAATAGCAAATGAATATTTCATAAAGTTGATTAAGCTTGTAAATCCGACTTTCATAGAATTCAACCCTGATTTTTACTTGGTCACTAAAACTTAAAAGGCTTTAGATGCAATAAGTTAAGCCGATAGGGAATTGAATGAAAAAGTAGGAAATTTCGGTGAAACTGTGAAAAAAAATAATAGTAACAAATGCCTTTATCCGCACAAAGTTAAAAGATGCAGGTCACTCGATGACTATATTTTATGTGAAAAGCAGTTATTAAGACCTAGTAGCAAAAATGAATTTTGATGATAGAATAGGACTTGATGGTTTCAACCTATAAATGAAATGACCCGATAATAGCAGTGGATCATGAACAGGAATTATCAAGGGGTATTTACAACAAACCTTATTGAGTGACAATGTAAGAATTATATGGAAAAATCCAAAAAAATTATTGCTCAATGCCGCTAGGGAATATTTCCCTAGAATAAAAATCGTATGCAATACTGCAGGATAGAGCGAAGAAATAAAGTAGCAAATAAAGAAGAAACAGACGGCTTGGAAGACATATTTAGATATTATAGAAACGTACGAAGCTTATAAGAACAACAGGAGTTAGTTGAAAGAGATAATTCACGAAACTAAGCAACAGTTTTGAGAGTATTATTTCTTATTGAGATTGGTTCGAAGATGACAGCAGAGGTAGCAAGAAGTTATTCTAGGGAACACCAAAACTGATGAGCAGCGATTTAACCAGATCTGAAAGATACATAAAAATAAGAATTGCTGTCAAATATCACTGAAAAATGCCATCGTTGGAAAGAGTATTTCTAGAACCCTCAAAAGCATGGGAGAGACAGGAGGATACTGGTTTTGGATTAGAGGTGGCTCAGCGAGGAGAGACTGAAGATACCGTAACAATGGAAGAAGTTGGTGATGCCGTTTAGAGACTGAAAAATGGAAAAGCTGCAAATTATGATTGTGCATAACCCCAAAGCGTTAGGCTAGGTAAGAATGATGTGAAAATATCAACTACGATCTTCAAGAAAAAATGGGAATCAGTCCAGATTACAAACAGGCAGGAGTTTTATTTTGTGATATGTCATTGATTGATTTTTTACTGTGCGTTTCCAACAAGGCAAAATCAGGGAGAATCTAATATTTCCACAAGAGGGTCCAAACAGTGTGGCACAGCTTGTTCCCTAACTTTTTGTTCCCGCTCAGCTCGTTATTGCTCTTTCTGTAACCGCCTGTCCTGTGGCCTGTAGCGTTACGGTTATTTGCTCTATTCTGCCCTCCCCTAGCATGTCGCCTACTTTCCTGAAATGATAGGGCATACACCTACATACGTCTATAATCATTGTTGGCGCATGTTAAAGGGACAGACTTTCGGTGAGGCTGTGGGTCAATGTTAGGTAAACTAGTAATTACTTGTTTAAATTGTATGCTAACACAAGTCGACAGTGTGCTGATCCTCTTACCCAGAAACCAGAGTATACTTTTACGAAGGCTTTTTCCGTGTTCCAAATCTCTCAAATGTCTTTAGCATCCTAATCGTACAAAAATATAAATGTAACATTGTGAATTATTTTTTTCTCAAAGAACCATTAACATTACCTCAAGCACAAAACTTACTCTTTGAAATGCCGTTGAGTTACTGAGTTTGGTTGAATATTTTTTCCTGTCGCTGTGCTATGGTACTGAAAATCTTCAGTTTTCTGATCTAGGTCCAGAAGGAAGAAACTTTAATTTCCAGATAAATAAGTACGTTGAACACGGCCTTGATAGTGAGTTGTGGGCTTGTGGTTTCGGTACGTCTAGATATTTTATGCATTTATGGCTTTTTGCTTAGTCTTATTTCATAAAAATTCATTAACTTGTTATGAAATTTTTGGTGTATTATAATTCAAACCACAACCTTTAAGGACGTGTTTAACGTTCTTACTTCCAGTTGCACACTTTTTTAAAAATAAAAAATTTCTTCTGATCGAAGCAATACAAATCTAGATCAGAAACATGAAATTTTCAAAGTGCCATAGTTTAGCAAAAAAAAATATACTTAATCAAACTCAACAGCATTTGAAAGGGCAAGGTTTGTACTTTGAGATGATGTTTATGGTTTTTTTTTTAAGAAATAATTCGTACTGCTACGTAACCTTAAATATAGGAAAATATCGCTATTCTTGTACTTTTAGGTTGTTATAACTCAGAAACTAGATTCAGACTTTGGAAAAGTATACTCTCGTTTTTGGGTAAACATCTTGTCGGTTACTGTAATTTAAAGGTCACCTTTACTATTTTGATCACCTACCAGTAATTTGAATGTCTCTTTATTAACGATAGAGTGCCGATTTCTAGGCCAAACCAATTATTTTATTTTGGTAAATTTCAGTGTTGTGTTGAAACCTTCTGGGCACTAATGTTATAATGTTTTATTAATGACTATCTCGGAAATTTCCTCATAAAATATCGTTTGTCTCTCAGAAAATACATTTTTTTACCTACAACGTTGTTTTGAGAAATAACACGGTCCTGACATCTACCCATGGGCAACCAGTGATGTTGCGTATGTACGTTCAGTTGCGAAATTTTCATCTCTGAACGCCTTTGTCAGGTTTCTGGGGTTGTTTTGTTTTCTTTGTTTCGTTATGTCTAGGTAGAATATTAGTCAGTTTGGTTTGGGAATCGGAATTTCTTATTGGTTATTATTATTTTTGGAATCAAATCTGTGGAGCATAGAATTTTGGAACGCCCTCCTACTGTTGATATTGATTGACAGTCATCTGACTGACTGACGGAGGGCCGGACATTTGGAGAGAGCTTTTGGTTATGTGGGTGTGTGGGTCCTTCGTTTAGTTTTCAGATTCTGGGATATTGGGCCCAAATCACCAGTTTAGTTAGTAGTTATTTGGATACAAGGGCATATCTAAGAGTGTACATTAACAACTATGTGAATACATTGCAGCAACAAATTTCCTGCGGTTATAAGTTTTAAATATACAGGATATCCTCAAAGTTGGGACTTGACTTTATACGGTGTATATACCTTGGAAAAATGAGCAGCTTTTTTCAGCAACATACCCACCATAGTCTTAAGATTACCTAGATGTTATACTTGCAAAATAAATCAACGCACTCAGTCCAGGTGTTCACTGCGTTGGTAAGCAAAACTTTTACACGTCGGTTCTAAAAAACAGGACTAAAATAGCACACTCCTACAGCCACAACGGAGCTGACCATATTATTTTAATCTGCGGTGAGTGTCTTCGAAACGCTACCGACGCTTCGGGAGTGCATGCAGATCGTTTTTCAAGACCCTTCGTGATTTATCATTTTGTTTGTGGCAAAGTGAAACACTAACACGATTGACGTACTACATGTGCGAATTTAACAATCTGTTGCTTTCATTCGCGAAAATTAGTCCGTTCTTAAAGCCTACTCACTGATTCTTGGCTATGCCAATCACATTTGACCCTATCGCAGACATCTTTGAACAATACTAAGTAACAGAGCTATATATGAAATTTCTTTTCGATGCACGGTGAAATTTTTAAATTTATTTCACTTTTCACTGAAAAAGTCCAAACTCTCGGGACACCCTGTACCTTTAAAAATGTAAAAACGTATTATTTATCTTCGAACAATCAAAACTGCACTTAATTTCCCGCACTTTTTGGGTTTATAATATCTATAACTTCTTTTATTCGTAAGCTTTCACTAGGTTGCGTTGATCCCCAGAAAACATTGCCCTTTCACATCCCTCTGCCCTTGTAGTACGCTCATGTTTCCCTTCTGAATGGAGTAACGGAATTAATACCTTCCCCTTCAAACTTAATTATCGTCGTAACAGTTTGCTACGACCACATGAGAGCGTTTTTTCAGCACCAATAGCAGCAAAGCTTCAAGTTTCCCTCGTGCAAAAATTCGCCTACACTACAAAACTCCCAGCTACGATTTCTGAGAAAGAAACATGTTCTCTCATGTATGTATTAATTGCATACAGATTAAAACTCACGCAACACGATCGTTAGCAGCTTCCAATTCGATCAATCGGAATGTGTGTATTGTCTGAAAGATTTTTCGAGGAATCTAATGGAAATACGGGTCTTTCATTATTATTTGATTTGATTCGAATTAGTTCCACGAAAAATACCGGCTTGCAGGATTGCACCAGAAGGACGGTATAATGTGAGCATTTATTTATTTATCCAAAAAATTCTACCGCACGGGCAGCTTGATACATTGTGATATATGTGCGCGTGACAAATTATATTAAAACAAAGTTGCGGATTTTGATGAAAAATAATCGAGATCCATCGGGAGGCACCTGTTACACATCTAGTCTACAAGTTCACGACCTGACCTGGAAAATGCAGGAACATTTCTCGACCCGTCGATAGGAGGATAAATATCCGACCCGATAGCGGAAGCGGCTAGTCACAACCGAGATCGTCAACAACGCGGAGTGTCGTAGTCCAGTCAACATGGTTATAAATTGTCATAAATAAGTAAATCAGTGTAGCAATAAACTAGACTTTGAACAGTAAAACGGTGTTTTCGTTACAATATTTTTACGTATACTCAAGCATGAAGCATCTTGAATACATACGAACCTTGAAGAAAATTTATATTTTTTTTATTTCTCTTTAGAAAGGTTCCCCCATTCTCAAGACATTTCATTTCAGCAAATATATGCAGAGATACTTTGTACGCTCAAGCATGCCCAAATTTTCGATAAGAAACTACCTATTGAGAGCTGCTATTTTACATCAGTTCCTTTTTCCAGGAATGCAACGTGTAGATGGCGTATACGGTCCCCTGATCGTTAAGGAGCCCGAAGAGGAAGATCCGGTTTCCCAGTTCTACGACTTCGACCTACCTCAACATGTGATGATGATCATAGATTGGGAGAAGCAGACGAGTATGGACAAGTTCCTGGCGCACCATCACAACGACGATGACAATAAGCCTACCACGTTGTTAATCAATGGGCTAGGCAGGTTTCAACAGTTTATTTCAGACACCAACGAGACTATTTATACACCGACGGCGAGGTTTAACGTCGAACAGGTCAGTTATGCTAAACGTATTTTGCCATTGATTGAATGAATGAATGAATCTTGAAATTAGAGGCATTCCTGCCACCATAAGGAGTCAGTGCATAGGCCGCTTAAGCGGGCCCTTATGCACCTCTACAAGGGGTAATACGATCACCCCTGCTTAGAAGGACATGGTCCTCCCTTTGCAATTCGACTAAGACGGCAGTATGCCGCTTGTCAGGTTTCAAGAAAGCCCAGTTGGCATTGATTACCTCTGTAATATCTTACTTGGACTAGAAACAACCTAAGAAAACAACATCACGAAGTGTGGCAACACTGTACCCAACATGTGTCCTGATACCATCCCGATTCGTCTCTGTATCGTGAACAGTATCAGTACGAAATTTTTATTTTCTCATTCTTTTAGAGTAGGATCGTATCCAGAGTTACCGTTGCTCTAAAACTCGGAAAAGTGACGGGAGTGCTGTTTGTGCTGTAAAAACAACCCTGAAACTTGACGCTCAAAGCAACAGTGGAGCTTTGACAGGATTGCCATGTAGGGCGACTTTCCCCCAAGTTGGAGGGATTTTACTTGGGGATATAATGTTCTGGGATACATCACACGCCGCGCGGATGGAAAGCATCCCTCTCTTCGAACCAAGCCAATCCCCCTCTATTAATAAACTGTGATTTGAGTTTTTTTAAAGTAGCAAATCTAAGGAATTATTGTGCTTATTCTGGGACAATTTTGTCCCACCCATCTGACGAACACTAACAAACGAATTGCCAATACTCTTGAAAGTAAGCCACCTGCACTACCTGCGATCATTGTATTTGATAAGATGAATTCCACAGATTTGAGATCTTAACTCAGTTTAATCCCTAAAGAACATAAAAAGTTCTACAATTTCTGGTTGTGTCATTAATCTGATAATAATAGAACAAAATACAGCGTGACAGTAACACTTTGGGATTAGTTTCAAACATGGAAATGAATGTGTCACAAGGAAATGAGGAAATAATGCTCGTGAAACAGCCTGAAAGTTTTATAACTGAATTCATTTTATTTATGTGCGTGTATAAATCGGTCAGGGAAAACGAGGTTCAACAATGAAATCCAATTTTTCATTTTTAATGATCCTATATACCGTCCTAACCGAAACGTCCTTGAAGTTGTTTCCTCCAGATCATTGTATAGGACGAATTTTGCAGATTCGAAGATAAACTCAATTTAAACCTTACACAAGAGAAAAAAGTTCAGCAATTTCGCGTTATGTCAAACTAATAATAATAACACAAAATATCGCTTTACATCAACCCTTTGGGATTTGTTTAAAACACCGAAACAACGGGAAAATAATGCTGGCGAAACAGCTTAAAAGTTGTATAACTAAATCCATTTATGCCTATGTATAAATCGGTCAGTGGATACGAGATTCGACAATGAAATCGCATTTTTTATTTTTCAGGGCTATAGATATAGATTCAGAGCTATCAATGCTGGGTTCCTGAACTGTCCCATAGAGATATCAGTAGATAACCATACGTTGACTGTTATCGGTACAGATGGTGACAGCATTAGGCCAGTTGAAGGTAAGCATTGATTCTAACCGTAGATTTTTAATACTCAGCTGTGAGAGGTAGCACCCAATGTGGGCGACAAGAAAAAAGGCCGAACTGTCGTATTGCTTCCATGCTCTTCAAGCTACTGATTAGCGATGGCTCGAATCCAGAACCCGACGCTCGCTGTCCTCGGCTTTCCTGAGTCCACACTCGTTCACCCTGTAGTATACTGCGTAAGGATCTGTTGGTCCTCCTAGAAACTTCTCTTATCGATAGAGCGGCTTCACGCAACCGGACAATTCGACCCCTCTCAAAGTCACTTAGCTGGGACACCGGGCGAATTCTACGCACAGTAGGCATTTTGAGCAATCACAAAAAGGCTTCACAATAAGCTACGCGAAATGTAACATTTAATTGACACCGTAAATGTACGAAAACTAGATGCTTCCTCATCACCAAACAATACACGCAGCCGCCACAAAAACTTAACAGAGAAACCTGACCATTTTATCACTTTTGTTGATGGCAAGATACTCGATATGTACGAGGGTGGTCCCAGAAGTACCCGACCCAACGAACAAAACAAAACTTATGTAAAAAATGTATTTATTTTTCAACATAAAGTTCGATATCCTTTTTATAATAAGAACTACCTTGCTCCTCAAAATAGCCATTAACTGTGGACATCACTTCTTCATCGTTGGAAAACCTTTGGCCACTGAGCCATTTTTTCAAGTTTGGATACAGAAAATAATCCGAGGCGGCTAAATCTGGCGAATAGGGTGCATGAGGTAGCAATTCAAACTTTAATTCGTTAATTTTGGCTATTGCAATAATGGATTGGTGAGCTGGTGTATTGTCTTGATGAATCACCACTTTCTTCTTAACCAAATGCTTGATGTCCAAATTTTCAGATAATATGCGATGAACCGCACTTTTTGAAGTGCCTACTATGTCTGCTAGCTCGCGCACATTCAGTCGACGATCATTCAGTACCGCTTTGTGAATTTTCTTCACCATTTCTGGAGTCGTCACCTCATTTGGTCGACCACTGCGATGCTCGTCTTGGCAGCCCATACGGCCTCGTTTAAACTCTGCTACCCAATATTTTACTGTTTTAAACGAAAGAGCAGACTCACCCAGAGTAGAATCCAGTTCAGTTTTTATATTGGTTGGGCTGAGGCGTTTGAAATAAAAGTATTGTACCACATAACGACGACCAATTTTCTCTCAAAACGTTCAGTATTGATGGCTGCCAAACAAATACTAAACAACGTGGCGTATTCAAACTTGACACATATGCTTTACGGGTTGCGTACTATCTAATACAATGATATTTTTCAAGCAACTATCGCCATCTCTAACATTAATTTTTCATGCAGATTCACACCCTTAAATATTCGCATATCATTAAGGAACACACTTGTGAATGTAAGTAAAATGAAAGATAATCTGAGGTATAACAAATCATTCAGGTTTCAGAGTTTGCATGGGGGATTACTTAATAATTTGTAACAAACACAAAAAAGAAATAAGCAAGCTGGCGCTCTACTTCTTTCTGTGCATCGTGCATGCTGTTAAATTACGATGCTCAAATGTCAGCAGGTCTTCGAGTATTATAATAGCGAAAAAAACGCGTTCTACGAGATCGTTATGAGACTTTCCCGATTCTTTGCGCCACTTTGTAATAATAAGTCAAACAGGATAACATTTAAGAATGTAATGGAAGTTTGCTCATCCACAATTGGCGTCACCGTTATTAAAACCTCTTTTCCAGATTTTTTATGTCATCAGGTGTACGGTAACAATTTTCCAATTCATCGCGGATAGATGAAGCCTTTGTGTGAAAAAATTCTGTAAATAATGGGCACTTTCAAATAAAGACGTACCTCTATTGGAAGCAATAAAAGTCATGGTTATACATCAGAATGTTATAAGAAATGAGCGGTTTTTAAATGAGCTTCAAATGACTTGTATCGTTCGCATTTTGGGTCGCTTAAGTTTGTTTGGGGCTATGTCAGATTCTCAATTTTTGATCTTGGAAATACGTCTATGCATCTTTGGACTATCCTAAGAAAAGTTTTCAAAGGTTATCTATAACTCATATTATCGAATTTCAAAAAGATGTTACATTTATCCCTAAAAAGAGACGCGAAGTATTCGTTGTAAATATAATATATTATTTTAATAAATATGCCTTAATATGAATGATGAACGACGTCAATTATGGAATTACTACACTCCAAACTCTTATTCACATACAGTGGGAGAAACCGCCGGTTGCTAGGATGCAAGTCGGGACTGCACCAAATCCGTTTAATCCGAATTAGTAAATATAAAAGCTTGAATCGATTTTAGTTGGTTATTTTATACAATTTAATTAGATGAGTACATCTAATTCCCTACAAAAAAGCATAAAAATACATTCAACAATAGATGAAGAAATATATATATATATATATATATATATATATATAACTTAAGACGTGGTCATTGTCGTCTAGACTAGTTACTTAAAAAATAAAGTTTCCGCCTTTAGTTGGGTACTTCGACAAAATTCAAGTAATGAGGACTCTTTATACTTTATTAGTCTCTAGCTTTCAATGGACTTTGCCATCATCATCAGGAGCTGCAATAACATTGAGAAGAAATAGCAACTATTGTGCAAAATGATTTTAAGTTACTTACAATAGTATGTGAGATTGTTGCTAAATGTTATTTTCGAGGGAAACATTTAGTAGTCTGGTGAAAGCTGGATACATGGTACATTGCAGCTCCTGATGATGATGGCAAAGACCATTGAAAGCTAGAGACTAATAAAGTATAAAGAGTCCTCATTGCTTGAATTTTTTCGAAGTACCCAACTAAAGGCGGAAGATATATATATATATATATATATATAGAGATTAGCACTGTGAAAAATGGCGTCAAGTAGGTGGACTCTGCACTTGCCACGAACTTTTTCTCATTATACGCATAACTACTCGTATGTTCCATTCCATTTATTGACACTGTGATTAGTGCATACATCCAACAACTATGAATCTATGTAGTGTAGCAATGTTGTACCTTTAATACTAACATTTTAAACATTTTAAATATTGTTTAAATATTAATAAAACAATGATCAGGAGAAGAGTTGATCGGAAGGAAAATATGATTCTCAAAGTATTATAGACTTTGAAACAAATATCATATCGTACGGTGTGCCTCAAGGTACAGTATTAGGGCCCATTTTATTCATTATATTTATCAACGATTTGTTCAAATTAAGTAGTGCGACGATGGCCGTAGAACGGTGAGACGACGCCGTGGAGAACGGCGTGATATTGGATTTGCTGTTGAGTGGCATGTACACAGAACTGTTGGAGTAATGATTTGGGGGGCTATTGCCTATGGTAGCCGATCACCACTTCTCTTTGTTCATATACATATATGACTAGTGCACGTTATGTTAATGATGTCCTTCAAACCACTTTCTAGATAATGTTATCGTCTCATTCTTCATGTAAGGCTACCTCATTGCCAAAAAATCAAGTTTAGGAAATTATTTTTTCTGGGTGTAACGCTAATGTCACCGAGTATATTATTATCAAATGTTGATGATCATAAGAGCATTGAAAAAACCTGAAAATTTGAAGATCAATATCGTTGCAGCTACTTCGGTTGTAACATACGCTGGCGAGCGTTTTGACTTTGTGGTAACAGCTAACCAGGACAAAGGTCTGTACTGGATCCGATTTCGAGGTCTTATGGATTGCGATGAGAGGTTCAAAAGGGCACATCAGGTAGCGGTTTTGGAATACGAAGGACTCAACGCAACCAGGAACGACTATCCTGAAGGAGATCCTGATTATGAAAGCTCGCATAGGGACGGACTGGTAAGTGACACCTCCATGATTCACTTCACTCTTACTCTGTATTCCCAACACTGTAGCTTTGACACAGCATATCTTATAATCTATATCCTAAAAGTTTCAGTTCTCTAGCTGTAGGGTGAGTGTTGTTTCTCGATAGATTGCCAAATATCTCAACAATTTGAAAAAAGAACCTTATAGTATGCTATATGGAATAGCCTATTTAAAAATGTATGTTTGAGTCACCCAGTAGAAATAAAAATATTCTTCAAGTAAGGAGCATACTATTGGCTACAATTCTTTTGATTAACTTTCTTACCATGCGTAATATCGACTGAGATCACACTTACAACTCACCGTGTATATGAACTTGTGCTGATGCCTATGCGTTTTGTTTTTGTTATTTCAGCAAGTCAACGCGTTGAATAAAGGAGTAGAAAGCAACTCAACTGCTTTTCTATCGATGCCAGATATCGAATCGTTGACTGAATGGGATGACAGTCTTCGGAAAAAGCCAGACATACAGTACTATGTTGCTTACGATTTTTATAAAATAGACAATCACGACTTCCACAGAAGACCGGATTATGGATTTTTCAACAGTAAGTAGTACTTCGATAGAAAACGTCTTCTTTCCGCCTACTTATCGCAGATAACATGAAATCCAATATACAGGGTTTGTCCGGAAAGTAATAGGACTCATTTTCTTCCGCCATGACTGTACTTCGGAGTGTGCGCGCACCGAATGGATTCGGTAGAGGGCGTTCCTAGCTAACGAATGAGCAGCTGGTCAGTTGTCTCCGAGCAGTTGGAGAGTCAGGGCAGGCATTTTCGCGCGATGTGTTTCTGTGAGTGGTGCAAGCCGTTCGTTAGAGCAGAGGTACGCGATTAAATTCTGTGTGAAACTCGGTAAATCTGCGATAGAGACGTTTGATATGATCAAGCAGGCTTACCCAGGTGTTGCTTTAGCAAGAAGTGGTGTGTTTCGGTGGCACCAGGCCTTTTTGGAGGGCCGGGAAGAGGTCGCTGATGAAGACCGTGCTCGAAGACCTGCGGCTTCGACAAACACCGATAATGTGACTCGTGTGCGCAAAGTTTTGAACTCATACCGTCGACTAAGTATTCGTTTAATTGCCCAAATGTTAAATTTAGAAAAATCTGTGTTTCATGACATTGTGACATAGCATTTGAACATGCGCGGTGTGCGCGAAGATGGTCCCAAAAGTGCTCACTGACGACCAGAAAGTATGCCAAGAAAATTTGAACATGTGTGAAAGTGACCCCCAATTTTTGAATAACGTTATCACAGGTGACGAGTCGTGGATCTTTGAGTATGATCCCGAGACAAAGAGGCAACCTTCCGAGTGGCACACGACGGCGTCTCCTCGCCCAAAAAAGGGAAGAATGAGCAAATTCAAAGTGAAAACGATGCTCATTGTGTTTTTTAACATCAAAGGCATCATCCACCATGAATTTGTTCCTCCTGGACAAACCGTCAACGCCAAGTTTTACGTGGAAGTGCTCAGGAGACTCAAACGAAGGGTCAGTCTACTCAGTCCTATTACTTTCCGGGCAAACCCTGTACTTACATTTAAAAATCAAACGCTTGTGATTCCGGATGTCAAAAACCTCACTGAAGTCTAATAAGACTAATGAATACGTTCCTCATTATTCTCGATACTTTTTGAGTTTACCCTCCTGTTTCAAAAATTTTTTCTCTACATATATAAAAGGAGAACTTTAAGTTACAGAGCAGCCTGCATTTCTGAGTACCACGTGTATGTGACTGATCTATGATGATAAAATTTTTAACAAGGTATACACCTCTTTCGTAGTGACTGACCCGAATATGCAGCTGCTAACGCCTCAATTCAATCATATAACGATGTCACTTCTGCCGTTCCCTCTGCTGCCACAACGTGACGAGATCGCTGACGACGCCTTCTGCAATGCGGAGACATTAAAAGGAAGGAATTGCCTAACTGACCATTGCCAATGCACGCATGCCATACAGGTGAGTAAGTTTGTTCTTAATTACGAAGCCTTACAATACATACGGTGTCTACGAGGGTTGTCCCATAAATAAGGTTCGCACATTTTATAAAATAAATGAATTTATCATTGGTCACGGTGATCTTGAAGCTATTTGTTTGCATAGTAGCCAATTTTTCTACGCCGGTTCGGAAACTGGGTAGCTGCTCCTTCGTCTCGAATCGTTGATCGCCTAGGTGCTTTTTCAATTTCGGAAGCGCTATGTCAAGGCTGTAAGTGGGATGGGAAATGACTTCACAGCCAAATCGTTCGATTCAGTCCTTCGTTTATTGTCAGACATGATGATGCGCATTGGCCTGGCGGTGACGGCCATGAAGGGTTCCATTGTGCATGGCTGTCCAGCCGGTACTGAGCGTCGCCAATAGGCGCTTCTTGTTGGAATCGGTGATGGGGGAGTCGACAAAGCCGACGGTGTTGCCAGATTTCGTCTAGCGTCACGCGTGGCAACGTTACAGCGTTGAAAAAACCCTCATAAACGATGTTTAGTACAACAGATTTTTCTGTATAAATGATTTCAAATTTGAGGTTAGTCTATTTCTATGAGGGCATTTGAAGGTCACTCCAAGGTGATATCGAGGACGTACTCAAAATAAGCTGAGCAGTTGACCCCACCCAGATATCATTTAGTCACTAGCATCTGAAGGTCATTTAAAGGTCACTTCAGGAAAAAATTTGAAATAAATCCAGCATTCGAGTCCAGTCTCGCATCATATAGGCGTTAGGGGTCATTGCGTCCAAATAGAGATCAGTTTGTCTCTAGGGTATTGTGACGACAAATAAGCAAAAATTGAATAACTATTTCCGACCACCTGTCATAATATCGCAGTATAAGAGGTAATATTTCTCAATAATTTGCAAACGTTAACAAAGGCAACACTTTATCTGGTAATTCTTCAATGCCATAGCAGCCGCGGTGTCCCGGCATTTAGGCTTCTGCCTGCGCGGATGCTTCAATATATATATATATATATATATATATATATATATATATATATATAGGTGAAAAATTAAAGCTTCCGCCTTTTGTTGGGTACTTCGACAAAATTTAAGCAAAGAGGACTCTTTATACTTTTTTAATTCTCTCTAGCTTTCAATGGACTTTGCCATCATCATCAGGAGCTGCAATTACAATGATAACAGTAGCAACAAAAGTGTAAAATGAATTTAAATTGAATCAACTTGCAGTAGTATGTGAGGATGTTGCTAATTGTTGTTTTCGTATAGGATGAGGGAAACGTCCAGTAACATGGTGAGAGCTGGATACATGGTACAATGGTTAAAATTATATAAAATATGACAAGACAAGTTAAAGACAGATTAAAAATTATTTAGAAAACATTAGAGCATTACGTCGTGAAGCCACTTGATGATTGCACAAAATGGTGGTCATGGAATAATGAGTGAGATGAACCTTTGTCAGAAGGCCGAAGGTTGTCAATGTCTGTGTTGAAAGATGGAACAAATTGTGGGCGTGTGCCAAAACGTTGCCAAATCACTTCAGATGATGTGATTTTCAGAATGTTATGTAAGAAATTGTTAAACCGTCCAGAGGCAGTTGAATAAACTATATTTTAATTAATGGGAATTTTAAATTAATAATTATTAATAAATCGTGAGAAGAGAATTATTAGATTTTGAGTGGAATGAAATTTGTTGGTGGAATCGGCCAAAACACAGATTATATTATTGTGAAAAGTCGAAATTTGGGGAGATATGTAAGTTCTCCAATTTTTCGCAGTTTATCAAATATGAGTAAATGACACTCAGTTGTTTAATATCTGTCTTTTTGTTGATACAGTTGTTATTCATGAAAATGTGCGACATTTCCAGGAATAAACGTTTGGAAAGGTGTTTTTCTTTATCAAAAAAAAAATATATATATATATATATATATATATATATATACGAGCAGAAGTCTTTGCCATTGCCAACGACCAGATGGACAAGAAATACAATTAATTATTAATTGGGAAATTGGTAAACTTTAGTCTTAGTAAACTCTTTTACCGGTATCTCAAGCTTTCGGCACGCTATGGTGCCATCATCAGGAGTCGTCGCTGAGTTTGCAGCCAAATGGTATTTCAAAACTTAATCGTGGATGAGAGCACTTGTTGCAAATGTAAAACCATAAGAACGAACACATAAAAACTATTGAACATTTTCAAATCGCTAAAAAGTAGTACTGTATTTTGGGGGAAAAACGGCCTTTTTTGTATTTAATAAAAAAAATTGTTTCAATTAACCGAACAAATAGTTGCTTGTTGAATTGCAACAAGTTGGAACGATTACATATTCCAGTTAATCTAACATCCTCCCAAAATTAAAACAAATTTCCAATAATTTGTTCGGTTACTTGAAACAATTTTTTATTAATTACAAAAAAAGGCAGTTTTCCCCCAAAATGCAGTACTACTTTTTAGTGATTTGAAAATGTTCAATAATTTTTATGTGTCCTCAGCGACGACTCCTGATGATGACACCATAGCGTGTCGAAAGCTCGAGATTACCGTTAAAAGAGTTTACCAAGCCTACAGTTTGCCAATTTCCCAATTGATAATTAATTTTATTTTTTAGATGCAGCAATAATCTCATTTTCATTAATGTCATTGAAAAATATGTTAACCTGACTAGTAGGATTCCTGCCTTCAATACGAGTAAAATCATTACGAGTAGATGGATCAACAAAAACACTATTAAAAGAATGTATTGACAGCACAGTGAGGATCGATTAGTGAGACGTCATTCAACTTCATTTTACCAGGAATCCTAGTAGTTCTATTTTTTGTATGCATGAAACCCCAAAAATATTTAGGATCTTGAGAGATGGAAATCTCAACATTACGTGTATAATTTTTATAGGCCACAGATATTTGACGCTTTACCTCAGATTTAAGACGTTTGTACTGTTCATGTAGATAGTTATTGTGACTCTTTTTGCACTTCTTGTATAACTTTGCTTTATGCTTGACTTTCCTAAAAGTTTCGCTGGTGTACCACGAAAGGTACTTATGACTAAAAGATTTATATAAAGATAGAGTATAAACATTTATAAAATTCAGGTATAGCTAAGTTAACATCTAAGGAGTTACCTAAAAAAGAAAAGTCTGCAATGAGGAGAGCATGATACAGGTCTGTAAAATTTGCTTTTCGGAAATCGTACATGTTAAATGTTCCAGATCCCCTTAGATTCCGTGGTGGAATTGATTTTTGTGGACGAGGGCTTCGCCTTTGACGCCAATCATCCATTGCATCTTCATGGATATGCCTTCAGAGTAGTGGCCATGGAAAGGGTTGGAAAGAACGTGACTGTGGAAGAGGTGAAAGATAGGGACAGAAGAGGGTTGATCAAGAGAAATTTGCTGAATCCGCCGGTGAAGGATACCGTTACGGTGCCCGATGGGGGATACACTATCGTTAGGTTCAAGGCTGACAACCCAGGTGAGTTTGGATGGTCTTTCAAAACAATTTGGTATCGAGAAATTGTTATACAGAGTGACGTGGAATCAACCTTATACGAGGAACACTAGGAAAGAAACCTACCTAGCATGAAACGAAAGGCGTACGATTTTTTTAATGACCAAAATCGACTACCGCTGAGAACAGGAACTGTATCCATTGGGCAAACTAGTAAAATAGCTTTCGTTCATTCAAACATTCTTCTTATACAGTGGATAGAGGATAATGGTTCAGCTTTCCATCGTTGTCCTGAGACTAAGCCTAGACCGTACTGAGGGGCTGCCAAACAGCACGAAACAACTATACATGGTTGACCATCTGTGATCGGTCGAACTCAAGCTATATTACTAAAGATCCTTACGTATCTGAAAAATTAAATTATTTTGCACCACCCTGTACAAAAGATTCTTCGCGATGTGTTCGAAATGACTTGATTTTGTCAATCGCATTATCCTTACGGTTTTTAGGATATTAAACGCTTTGTGGATTTCCGCCTTTATATTTATTGTTATGTTATTTGAGTGAATTCATCCCTGACTAACGATCGTCAACCCGCTTTCAGGTTATTGGATTTTCCATTGTCACATCGAATTCCATGCCGAAATCGGGATGGCCATGGTGCTACAAGTAGGCGAAAAAGAGGACATGCTACCGGTTCCCACGAATTTCCCTAGATGCGGCAATTACCTGCCAGAGTTTCTAGACGATGATACGAGCAAAAAACCGAACAGCGCATCAGGATTTTCGGGAATATCGATCATCGTTCCGTTATTCATGATAATCTGTTTGCGACTTTAGAAGGTAACTTAGGAGTAGGATTAAGAGAGAAAGAAAACCCGTGAAGCTTCTTCGTGGGCCATTTTATTTTTATACCCTTTAGCAGAATGTACACGGTGTCCCGCTATGAATTGACAGCCCTCTTGATCTCTTTTAGTGAAAAAGATGTGGGATCTACTTCATCTAATATAAATGTTTTCAGGCAATGTGGTTGTGCTAGAAAAGTGCTATCAAGTAAAGCTGTATTTTTAAAATGGAACACCTTGTATATTGTAGCGTTTTTATGGGTTCTTTTGGATGTGGATTAAAACACTGGATTCCACTAATTTATTTAACTTGATAGAACATTTATATACACCACTATTTATGTCTGACTAATTCTTATGTCGCCATTGACTGCACTATACTCCACTCCGCTCTGCTCTGATGTAATATGTACTCTCTGCCCCCATCTCCCGGCTAACGAGTTATATATAGTCCCAATTGCTGCTTCGAGAAAGGCCTAAAGAATCGGAATAGAAGCGACTATCATTTCTACAAAACGTATACAGGGTGTTTCATTGAAAATATATAATTTTATTCAATAGCAGCTTTGTGAGACACAAAAAGGATATTGAATGAAAAAGTTGGCATTATACAGAATGTTGTACACAACCCTTTTTTCAAGGTTGGCATACAAAAAGTTAGAAAGGGGACCATTTTTATGACGGGACACCTGTAAATTGTAAGGATAAATTCATCAGTATTATCTCGTTAAATAAGTTAATAGTCTATAATCTAAAATAACTGTGGATAGTTCAATAATATTTAACAAACCGATTACAATGCCGAAGCAAACCAGTTTAAGTTTAATTTTTAATTTCTGATGCTTTGGGACGCTTGAGCTCTAATCTTATTCACAATTTTTACTACCAATTTCATACCGTTGTTTGTTTGTTTGTTTAAGATTTATTTAGCATGATTGCTACAATTACATTCTTCTAAAAAACTAAACAATTACATAACATAGAGACATTCAGAAAAAAAAACAAAATTTGCATCTCGAAGAACTTTCATTGTCCATGAAATATTCCTTTAATTTTCTTTTAAATATCTTTAAATTACAAGTAGACTTTATATCATTATTTAGTTTATTAATTTCAAGTAACCTTTTCTGAAATATTGATTTGCTAGTTATATTACTATTGCAATTTTGTAAATGAAAATCTATATTTCCTCTTGTATAATAATTGTGGTAATGATTATTCAATTCTATGTAGTGTTCTAAATTTTCTGGCAAAAGTTGATTTTTTATTTTAAATATAAAAATAAGAACCAAATATGATATGAAATTTTTTATATTCAACCGCTGCAATTCTTGTAACATAGATTTTATTTTGGTGTACTTATTTTTATTCAATATTATTCTCATAGCAATATTTTGGCAGTGAACAAGATAGTTGAACAATATAGTAAATGCGGTAGAATAATTGTACTATAAACTATTTTCTTGGAATAGGTAGCAAGTCTATGAGAAGCCCTATAAAAGTAATTTGTTTTTTTTTTTGGCAATTTGTGAAATAATATATTCATAGTGATCCTCAAACTTTAGTTTACTATCAATATATACTAAGTGACATATAAATCCGAACACCCAGTTTAAATGGTTTTATTTTAATAAAATTTTGTATAAGTACTTAATGAAGCATAATAAGTAAATGATAAACATTTCAAAATGATTGCACTGCTTTAAAGCCCTTTGACCTTTAATAATTTGTGGATGCACCCTGATGTGCTACGCATTCTCCAACGCGCCTAGGCATGCTTCTGATCAGGTGGTCAATGTCCTCCTGTGGTATCTCATTCCAGGCAACCACCAACTCCTCTCGAAGTGCTTCTAGAGTCTGAGGAGGACGTTGCAAATTGAGCAATCTCCTACCCATCATATCCCACACGTGCTCAATTGGGGATAAGTCGGGAGATCTTGGTGGCCATGGTAACAATGTGACATCATTATGTTGAAAGAAGTCTATTGTGACTCTTCCAACATGTGGTCGGGCATTATCTTGTTGGAAAGTTGGATCTGCCAGGGTGTCAAGATAGGGTAAAAGATGGGGTTCCAGACCTTCGTGGATATAACGCTGCGCGTTCATGTTACCCCTGATGAAGATTAAAGGTGACCTGGAACCATAAGCTATAGCACCCCAAACTATAACTCCAACAGTGTGATGAACATGTCTTTCAACAAAAAACTGTGGATTCCTCCTTTCACCACGTCGCCTTCTAACCCTGGCACGACCATCGTGCATGTCTAAACAAAATCGAGACTCGTCACTAAAGACAATACTGTTCCATTCCTGATCCCAGAGTGACCGTTGTCTGCACCACTCAAGGCGATTACGTCGGTGTTCTCGAGTTAAAGGGAGGACCCAGTGTAGCCGGTATGAAAACAAGCCAAAACTTCTCATTCGTCGGTAAACACTTCGCATGCCAATAGGTCTTCCGTGTTCTGCAAACCATTCATTTGCAATGGACCTGGTAGTGGAGAAACGGTCCCTTAAGGCCAATAATCTTAGGCGGCGATCTTCACGGTCTGTTGTTCTACGGCGGCGTCCAGTGCCCCTTGCTCTTTGCGTTCGGCCTTCTCGAAGCCATGCCTGACAACATCTAACCACAGTGTCTACACTTCTTTGCACTCTAACTGCAATTGCCCGAAAAGAAAGTCCAGCTTCCCGAAGTCCCACTATACGGCCCCTATCAAACTCACTAAGTTGACGAAATCGTACAGGTCTCCGTACTCTAGGCATCGTAACCGATCGTAAAGGATGTCAAGAACCAAAATCCGCCAACGTTGATTCTCTACTGCGGCTGAAATATTCATTTTTAGAGCGTTAGTGAATTAAAAAAAAAACAGTATAAAAACCGGAATGTCCAACTGATAAGGCTGAAATTTTTTTCACTTGTTATTTATAGTAAGATAACTACATTCACCAACTTTTATTAAAATAAAACCATTTAAACTGGGTGTTCGGATTTATATGTCACTTAGTATATATACCTAAATATTTAATTGATTCAAAATTTTCAATTATTTCTCCATTTATCCTAACTGTGATTGTATTTTTATTTAGGTACTTCCCTATTAGCATACATTTTGTTTTAGAAATATTCAATTTTAGTTTATTACATTTAACCAATTTACGATTTTCAGAATTTAGCATTTTTAAAGCAATGTCTATATTTTCATCTGAAATGTATATTAATGTACCATTTGCAAATATCTGAAGTTTACAATAATCTAAACTATTACAACTGTCATTAATGTATAAAATAAATAGTAGTGGACCTCGTTTACCACCTTGTGGTATACCAACAGAAATATTTTTGATCTTGATAATGTAGATTCAATTTTGGTTTTTTGACTTCTGTTAATTAAATAGTTTTGTAGAATTTTGGATACAGATCCTTTAAATCCGTAGTGATGCAATTTTGTAAGTAATTTATCCATGTCAATAGTCTCAATACAAAAACACTGTTACTGTATGTTTCCGATTATCCATACATCAGTTTTACAAAAATTTCCCCATAATGCTTGCTGATGGATAATGCAGCGGTAACAGAGAAATAGCGGAAAACTTTCATCTTTACGACATAACCCCCTTATCGCGATCCACCATAGCTGGAACGCCATCGGTTGTCAAGCCTATCATTTTCGATATTGGAATTTTCTCAGAAGAAATAATATTTTTGAAGGAAGAAAACAAGTCCTGCTCAGTGGTCTGTCCTTTTAGTGGAATAAACTTCAAAAAATCTTCTTTAATCGTAAAATCACTAAAAACCATCCTGACGAACACGGCCATCTGCAGTGAAAAATAAGCACAGTTATCGAAGTTATTTCTTGACTGTAAAACGATATCATTGCTCATTACTTCTACTCGTCTCATCACTGTATTAGCAGAAACTTGCATATATTTCATAGCAGACACTATCTCGTCTTTATTTCTAAAGTTGGCAAATAACGAATCTGCAGCTTCTAAAAACGCCTGTCTTATCACTTACCCGTCTTCATAAGGTTTCTTCTCTTGTGTAGTTATCTGGGACACCCGGCATCATGCTTCAGTTGCAGCCTTACTTTTGTCGATTGTTTTAAAAGACATTGTCTGTTGTCCAATTAAATGATTTTTTAATTGTTTCAGTTTTGCCGTTCTGGTTGCAGAACGCAATGGGAATGATTTTTCAAAATTCGAGTGAACAGTTTTATAGTGTCTTGGAAATGGTATGCACTGTCGCCGCGCCTTGCGTATTTATTCTGTTCAACGTAATCAAGATCGTTCTCGAACAGATCGCTCACCGCAATGTTTATTATGAGAATTTACAAAATTTACGGAAGCTCCTATGACTTTTTACACCTTTTTAAAGTATGTTGTGAGCCACCAGAATTGCCTTTGCGAGCTATCGGTAGGTCGCGATAGACGGCTTGGCGACCACCGTTGTACGTTGATCAGCAACTCCAAAAACCCATAAGCATGTCAGCTCACTTCTTATACTTCGAAATTCTCCGTTAAACTGACCTTGAACTGACCCCTACCTTGGCCAGAAGGAGCTTGCTGTAAATACAATTCGTGGTCAAAACGCTTAGTTGTTTTATAGACATGCGAAAAACCGAAAATCGGCCTTTTCGATCTCACCGTAACATAAATTATAACTAGATAACGTGTATCGCAATAGCGACTAATTGCAAATTAAATCACTATGAAATTTATGCTGATGCAAATGAAGCCTCATCCCGTTCTAGAGCTAGAACTCAATAAGATACTCAATTTCCCCACGGTTATACATACATTTACATGAATTGTGTTCAGTGCGTAGAAAATTATTGTATGTTTATAAAACAGGTAGCCCCACATCCCTTTACGTCTTTGCGTTGGCTTTGCAGAAGCCATTTAAAGGGCAGTTATGGCGACATTCATATACAGGATGAGTCAGAAAAAAATCTGGCGAATGGTTCCTGTAGGCCCTGTGGCGCAGCTTGCTCGTCAGGGGCCGCATATCAAATTTTTTAGGGGGGGGGGTGGCGAACTGTGGAAAGGAAACATAAACGCTTGCATTGAATAATAATCCGCAGGATGTTTTCTTAGTCAGGTGAGGGATCATCGGCAAGAGATAAGCTTCTGTAAGAGTGTATCTACCCTCAAAACTTTTTGAAGATCAAGGGTAGCTGATTTTTTTTGGGGGGTGGGCGAGAGGGGTGGTTTCTGTGAATGCGAAAATTTTAGAATTTCAGATGAATTTCTATTGTTTTGTGATGTCTAAAACACGTAAATCCATATGGGGTGATAGTAGGTTTGTTTGTTTGTTGAAAATTTATTTAGCATTAATGCTAAAAAGTCAATTTTGTATAGTATAATTATTCGCTTACACATTTTTCTTCAATTCATTTTCTGTAATTGATATTCTTGTCTATTAAAATTACATCACTATGCATTTTGAGTATTCATAAAGTGGTTTTTTAAGTTCACGTTAAGCATTCTATTAAATTCAATTCATCATTCAATTTATCAAATTCAAATTCTCCCTTTTGAAATACAGATTTGCTAGCTATGCTAGTTTTACAATTTTATCACTTCTTTTTTGAAAATCATGTAAGTGGCTGTGATGTTATGAGTAAAAATCAATTTCAGATCGTCCTAATGTTTCTTTTTGTATGCTTTACAAATTTCTGAATATTGTTACGGGTAATCAAACATGGTTGGGAACAGGTTACAATTTTTAAAAAGTTCGAAAATTTGCGTTCTTTATTTTTGATTGCTTCAGGTTAGAGTATATTAAAAAAGCCTCACCTGGACTCGTGGAAAATCAGAAAATAGGCATAGGCGAATGCTTAACAATTACAGAGTCAGCTTACTTGCCGCTATTTTTGTTAAAAAAAAATATTAAAGCATCCGCCGCGGAAGACTATTTTAGTGTTTCGAAATTTTCTGCCTCTGAAGACAGTACCATGCTTGATATTCAAAGTTGCCTCATAGAAGCCCTAACATATTTTAATTACTTTTTATTCCGAAAAGCTGAAGTTGTAATATGGAAACCCAACCTCGAGCACTGCTCACATGTTTGGTGTGCTGCCGCCCCGACTACATCGCCCATACTCGATGCTGTTCAGAGAAGG